CCTGAAACAGGACCCAACAGAACACAGAGCGGTTGCCAGACAGTGTGACCGCCCCCCACTCCCCACAACTGAGTCCTCAGCAAAACCTTTCTCCCTTCTCAGCCCCAAGATGCCCCCACCCTCGCAGCTCTGTCCCAGGCCCTCCACTCTCCACCTTCACTAAACCACTGCCTACCTGTCTGTGCCCCACCCTGGCAAATGACCCCGATTCGGATTCTCCCAGCCAACTCAATGGGTGCTGTCACCCTGGCAGATTCTGGTGTTGGCAGCAGGGGGCACATAAGGTGCAAAGGGGAACTAATAGGAAATAAAATAGCTTTCCTCCCCCAAAGACCGTTCCCAGCTCTGCCAGCAAACAGAGTGAATTGTTTTCAATCCAATCTCATTTTATTGAAGTTTCCTCCAGGGTTAGCTCAGGCGACTTCTCCCCCAGCCTCTTCCGTGTGGCCTTGTTTACCAGAATCCCCTCGACATGGCATTTAAGCGTCTCCATTAACATTTCGTGCATCTTGCTCATGGCGGGCATGGGCCCTCTGAGACCTCCGGGGTGGCGGGCACGGCAGCAGCCCTCAGAAACTCCGGGCTGATTTTAATTGGTTCAAAACTGTGGCTGGCGACCACAGAGGGGTCCCTTTCCTTGAGTAATGACTTGGAGTTTGATCATGCAGCTTTTATTAGCTTGTAGCACAGAAAGTGGAGCCGTGTATAAGATCAGAGCCAGAGCCAGGGGCACGTCTGCCCACCGAGGCACACTCACTGGAGTGTGTCCAGTACACACTGGAGGACCTGGGCAAGCGTGCCTGTGCAACCCAGTGGATAAAGGATGGCAGCTCTCAGGGTAAATCGCCCTGGATGGATTTCTGCTTGTGCAGCAGGCCTGCCAGAAAGCTCCCAGGACTCGGCCCTCGTAATAGAACAGCCACCCTGCTGACCCCTCTTGTGTCACTCTGGGTTCCTTGACTGCATGAAGATCTTTGCTTGCCAGGGAGCGAAGAAGCCCTCTGAGCAGTCAGGATCTTGTGGTGCTTGTCCCCGTGTGGGGAGACTCTGCTCAGAGGATGGTCGCCGGGTCCCCCAGGCTCTGTGCCCTCCGCTTGCATTTTAGGAGGGAAAAGGATGTGAGAACCCAAGTTCTTGGAAACACAGATGGTCTAGACTCCAGAACATCTGGAGACTGATCGTCCCCACACCCAGGACCCTCGTTTGGAATGCAACAGCTTCTGCTTAGGCTGGTGGTTTCTAAAGAAGATCTCAGCGGGCAGTAGAAGAGACAGTTCCAGACTAGTTTATTGTCCTTTAAGTGGAGGGAGAGCAGAAAGGGCAGATCTGGTTCTTCTGGAGTCCCTGTCACGTATGTCATTCATCTGTTCGTCCACCCAGGCCGCGGATTTCCGCTGAGCCGCTGAGGGCGTAAAACACTGCGCTACCACTGAGTGACTGCACACGTGTCATTCTCAAGGGGCTTCTATCTAACCGTGCTTATCTCAGAAAAGTTTTGGAGACTTAACGACAATTAAGGTAAAACATATTAAATATCTATGTTTCTCTACTGCAGTTAACAACGATTGACATTTAGTTATGGGGCATTGTTAAAAAAAAGCATTACAGATGGAGGTCAACTCCCCTCTGCAGCCCCAGCCTCAATCCCCCCACCCGACACCCAGAGGCGGCTCTGAGCATCAACGTGGTGTCCATCATTTTGTCCCTTGAAAACACACTTGCACACATATAACCATGAAGAGCAGAGAGACCATAGTTCCCCCACTTCTTTTTTTTTTTTCAGTTCCCCCACTTCTTAAAGCGCACATACATGACCTCTTTCTGCAACTTGCTCCTTTCGGCTTTGTGTTTTTGCAGCTCCTCTGTGCATTTCTGATCCATTCCTTTTGTCCATTGTGGAGAAATCTGTCCTAGGAATCTACGGCTTTGTCTTCTGCCCCTCTGTCCTTGACGAATGCTCTGGTTGTCCGGAACCAACAGCAGTGGTATTGCTATTGCGACAGATGCGCGGTTCTCTGTGCTCATCTCCTCCGGTCCTGGAGATGATACCTGGTTGTGAGCGGCTGGTTTTAGAATGTTCCAGATACTGCCCACAGCTCTCCAACTGTCTGGACCCGCCCGTGCTCCACCAGCTGTCTCGTCTGTCCTCACTGAGATTGCCAGGCGCGTCTACTTTTGTCCACACAAGAGCTGAGAAGTGGCAGCTTGCTTTACTCTGAATCCCCTGATTCTTGCACACCTTCCCTCTGTTTACCAGCAGGCTTGGGACTCTGCCTGCTCCTGGGGAACTGTGGGTTACTCCATCCACTACTCTCCCACTTGGGAAAGCAATCTGTTCCCCGGAAAGATTTAGGGCAAGACCTCAAATGGTTCTACTTGTTTTTTAAAAATTAAGAAAACCATTCATCAATGTCTGGACTCCCTGTTAGGCCCCCAGTGCCTGCACCCCACCTCAGGAGTGACCGTGACCCCTGACCTCCCTGGCCACAATGCCAAGCAGCCTGTGTAGGGCCCTGACCCCTCCCTGCCCTCTAAGGCTGTCTGTCTGCTGAGCCCTCAGGCCCTGCCAGTCTGGACCGCAGACCCTGGGATCCTCAAAGCAATCCTGGGAGAGGGATGGAGATGCAGGGAAGGGTGAACAGAGGTCTGGAGATGTCTGCCTTTGGAAGCAGGGTGGCTTCCAGAGGAGGTAGGAGAATTGGCAGGGGTGTCCCCTGGTCCAGGGGGCGTATGGTGGGCTCAAGCCTCCCCCCCTCTTCTCTGGGAGAGATGCTGAAGCCACGGGGCCCCCAGGGATCACCGATGGAAGCAGTCTCTGGGCAAGTGAAGCAAACAGCAGATCTCAGGCCTGGCCTGGGCACTTTCTTTGCAGGAAGAGACTGGAGGCCCTGCCCTCCCTCTCTGCCCTGAGGGTGCCACCGGACCTTTTCCGTTTTCCTGTCAGCCCCTCCCCCTCCCCCCCACTTGTCTATCTGCCTGGGGCTCTCTGCCCCTTCCACCCCCAGACAGCCCAGCTCTGGCCTGAGTCCCTGGGGCTCCGTCCTGGGGATTTGGGTGATCCGGGGTGGGAAGCGGTGAGGTAAACAGGAGCAGGGTGGAGTGGCTAAAGGAACAAGTGGGTGATGCGTGGACCCCAGGGCACTGGACCCACTAACGCTCTGTCCTGGCATTCATGCTCGGAAGGCACACAGGGGCCCCTGTCTTCTCTCTGGCACTTTCCTAAACTAACCCTGTGGTGTGGCCCCACCTGTCCCATCTCCTTCAATGATCCTGCTCGGGGCAGGGCAGGGTCAGGGCTGTGCAAGAAGGCAGCTATTAAAGAGTCCACATAGCAGGTCAGGAAACCAAGTGTCCCAGAGGCCACTGTAGCAAGAGTGAGGACAGGGTGGCCATCACAAGCCAGGCTCCAGGTTCCCTGGGCCTCCAATCTGCACTTTGGTGGGGTGGGGGGGCAGCGGGTGGTTGTTCGAGGGTTCTGTGCCTCAGTTTCCCTCTCTCTGGAGGGTTCATGTGTTACAGCAGGAAGAAGGTTCCAAGAGTCTTTATGATCAGAGGCAGGGCCCTTCCTAGGCCTCTGTACTGATCTCCTGCCCCCTCTCCCCTTCCTGGGGAGGTGGGAGCGGCTACTGAGCACTCCCCCAGTCCTCTCCTGTGCTTGCCCGAGAATGACCCGGCAGCGGCAGCAACATGGTTTATTAAGCCAACACAATCTTTTAAGTACGTGAGCCCCAGAGACCCCTGAGGTCTGCGTATGCTTGGAGGAGCTTCCAGGTCCGAGACTTGCGGGCTGCTTGGGCCTGGGGTTTCAGGGGTGTCCCCATCCCAGGAAAGGTCCTGTCACCCTCTGTCCTCGCCTGGCCTTGAGTCAGGACGCAACTGGCAGCCCCTCGCTCTCTGTATTACAGTCTTTTAAAAAATCTGCTATCTTCTTGGTCTCCTTCCTCCCTTCCTGTCCTGCCCCCCTTGTTTGTCTCTTGGAACTTTTCCTGGTGTGCCTAATTCCTGGGGGCTGCAGCGGCCTCGGGGACTCAGCCCCACCTCGCTGCACACACTCAGCCCTGGGAATCGATTCCAAAAGCGATTAGTTACAGTACAGTAGCGCTGCTAACTGTGGCATTTTGCTTTGCAGTTATTGATACATCATCAGAATTGAGAAGCCATCGGCAGGCAGGGGAAGAGGGGGCAGCTGGCTGGGGGCACAGGGGAGGGGGGCGTGGAGACGACTGTCCTGCAAATGCAGGGAGCCTGGCTCTGATGGCAGGGGTAGGTTTTGAGGCCCTGGCAGAAGCGGGGGCTGGGGTGTCACATCGGAGACTCTGGAGGGCCAGGTCGTTCCGGCTCGTTCTCAAGCAGACGACTAGGTCCTCTCTGCCTCCTCCTCCCTCCTGCTTTAATACCATTGCTGGGGCACAGCTCCTTCCCTGGGAGTGGGGACTGCTTGCTGGGCGGAGCAGGGGGTAGGACAGTGGCATTTCTGGTGCTGTTGGTGGATAGGGTCGATCTCTTGGAGTGCGTGCAAGCTAGAAGCCCTGAACCAGGCAGGGTTCTCCAGAGAAATGGAATCAATACAGTCTATCTATGCATCTGTGTATGTATCTACCTACACACACGTGTGTGTACCTGTCTACAGCTAGGCAAAGATACATCTGTAGCTATAGAAAGAGGGTAGATGTCATGTAGAGATAGAAAGAAAGGAAGAAAGATGGAAGAAAGGAAGGAAGGAAGAAAAGAGATTTGTTTTAAGGCATTGGCTTCCATGGCTGGTTGTGGTGAGCCCCACAGGTTTTGATGAGAGAGGTTCAGTGTGTACATAAACTGCAAGGGCAGCCCCAGGCAGAGCCCCTGCTCAGCCCCATGCCCCTGGAATCTAAGCTGGTGCTGGGGAACTGCAGCCGTAATGGGGTGATGCTGATGATTTACCCCCCAACCTAGCTCTGTTGACCTGAGTGAAGAGTTGGGGCCCGAGTTGGGAATGGGTGACACGGACCCTCCCACCATAGGTCTAGCCACGGCCAGCCGGACGCCTTGGCCTGCTGGCCCATCCCCTGGCGTCCCAGGGACCGGTCCGAGTCTCACTGCAGGGGAGCAGAGCTGGGAGCGGCTGCCGCTGTGAGGGGGTAAGCGGGGACGCCTCATTATAACTCCCCCCAGCCTAATGTTTTCTTCCAGTCGCAGTGTTCAAAGGATGCGGTTCCCATGACACTCTGTCCTGTGATATTTTTAATCAAGAGCGCGGGAGAGCGTGTGTCTGATGCACTCCAGATATTCAGAGATTGAAATGGTTTTGTTCTTGTGTTTTCTCTTTTCAACCCAGTGCTAAGTCATAGCTGCCTGAGGAAGACTCTCCACGCGTTTCCCTCGAGCTGGTCTGCAGGCCCCTCCGGCTGGGACCCTGTCCTGGGAGCTGCCATCTGCAAACAGGTGCGTGCCCCCTTCCGGCACACATTCTGCTCCACCCGACCTGGTCCTCAGGCCTGGGGCATCTCAGAGGCCCGGGGGTGGGTCTGGGGCGGGGGGACGGGGCACATCCGTGTCGCAATGTGGCCTGGAGGGGTATCAGCCAGGAAGCTATGGTCAGTAGAGAGGAGAGTCCACACCTGTCCCCACCACTTGGTTCCTGGACCCCCCGTGTTTTTCACCTGCCCTCACCCTGTCCTCTCACTGAAATGCAAATCAGAGCATGTATGATAGATAATTAATAGACTGATCAGCCAGCAAGGGAGGTAAGTAGATAAATAATTTTAATGATCCTTGGGTTGCCCATAAATTCTCTCACTGCCTTTTTTATTAAGCTCGCTGTTTACAGGCATCATTTATACTGCATGTCATTTTGCCGACCCCTCCCCCACTTCCTCAGCGGCCCCCACCAGGTCTGACCTGGGGTGGACGTGTGGGTGACAGAAGGTCCTTTCTCGGTAGGGCCTGGTCTGGCTCAGGTGGTGGCGGGGAGCTGGGCTGGGTGGCCACAGGCAGACCGTGCTCAGCACCCTGACGCGGCCGCAGCCTATATTTAGGCAGCTCAAGAACCTTCATTATGCTTGGCACCTGTGCTGTGGGTCTGAGCTCATTGTCCTCCCCAGGGACGGCTTTGGCCTATTAATAGCCTTGGCTGAGGTTTCCTCATTGCTCCGAAGGGCCAGGAGAGAAAGTGGGTTAATAAATATAAAAGAAAACTCTCTCAAGAGGGCCTGGGGCCAAACTCTCTCCCAGACTCTCCGGGAGCCTAGCTGCTGAACCCAGACAGGGCGTGGGGTTCCCTTCACCCTGGTCTCCTCCACCGCAGAGGCCCAGGGCCTAGGCTGGCGGGTCTGGGGACCAACGTGGAGAAGCGCTCCCCGGTTTCCATGGAGCTGGAATGGAGGAGTCCCTGGGGGCAAAGGCCACCGCCCCCGTGGGGCACAAGAGGGACTCAGGTGAGGCCTCTGTGCCCCTGGGAGGAGGCCAAGGGAGAGGACATCCTGGGTTTTCCTGCTCCCCTCCTCCCCAGCATTTTGCTCCTGACCTTCTATGCCTACTCATCTATGCGTGGAGAAGAGACCCTCAGGATGGTCACTGGGCAAGATGCCTCCCTCTCGACCTTGTCTTCTACTCCTGGGGTCCAAAGCAAGAACAGTTCAGCCTGAGTTAGAAACACCTGTAGAGAGAGAAAGGATGCCTGGGGAACAGAGTGGGGAGGACCCAGGGAAGCTCTCCAAGGACAGGCATCCCCAGAGTCTGCTCTCAGCTGAAATTCAAGAGCATCAGGGGCGTGCTGGCCTCAGCATTCTGAGCTGGGGATTATCAGCTAACACTGCTGAGAGCCTGGGGCCAGGGACAGGTTAGTCCCTGCCATGTTTATTCTCAATATGGTGCCATAGGAGACGTTCCTAGAATTTGTCCTCCTTTGGGTCGGGGAGGGGCAGGGTTCAGGGAGGTCACGGCCGCCAGCTTCTTTATGGCAGAGCTGAGAATCACAGCTGGGTGTGTGGCCACAATGGCCCGCTGCCTCGGGAAGCTTCGGGCCCTGTCGTTTGATTCCTTCTGGGTTTCTCCAGTTGGTAAGGAAGCCATCTGTGGGTATTTCTGCTTCTGTGCAGCGGAAATGCCCAGCCTGATGCTGGCATCCACAGCAGGCCGCCCGATGATCAGCTGGCCCATCTCCTTGGAGGGCGGTGTTCGCCCAAGGCAAAGAGGGAATTTGGACTGAGCAAGTGGAAAGCCTTTTGAAGTTTCACTCAGTGGAATTAAAGCCTGAAAAATGGCCCAGTGGAGGCTCCCTGCCCTTTCAGGAGCTTGTCTAGCTCAGAGCTGTGCCACCTCTCTTGCTCTTTGCCCAGCCCACACAGGCCAAGTGGAGGGAGGTGGGCCAGGAAGAAGCAGAAAGAGCTGACGGGCATCTTTTCCAAATGCTTTCTCCCTCTGGCAGTTCAGGGGCCTTCTGGAGGAATGGCCACCCAGCCTGTTTCAATTATGTTCTGTCCAGAACTGGCAGACAAGGGCGCGGGCCTTCCGTTAGTAGAGGCACTGGGAAAGCTCATCTTCCTGTAACCGGAGAACATCCCTGTTGGAGTCGCTCTGCATCTCCTTGGCTTTTCCTATCGCTTTACAGCATTTTTTATGGTCTGTCATCTGTTTCTGTTTGGGGACCACCAAGAAGGAAAAAAGTAATAAATCAGAGACGGCGCAAGCTGCTGGTCCCCTGTGATGGACATCACACCACGGCTGGGCCAGGCCTCCTTGTCACCATCCCGAGCCCTGCAGCTCAAGGGACCACCCAGGGCTGGTCCACCCATGAGGGGTCCTGGCGAAGAGATGGCCTCTCTGCCTCTCCTGAGAGACCAGTTCAGAACATTGCGCTGAGAAGTCTCATGATTCTGCAGTGGTGACATTTGCTGCTGTGGCTGAGCCTCACCCAGCCCTGTCGGAACCATCACCCCCTTCCCCATTGTGCATGAGGACCCCGGGGGGCTAGGAAGTGAGGGGCTGGCACAGGGACTCACATCTTCCGGGTCCCCCGTCCCTCGATTAGCATGTGCCAGGCGGAAGCGGTTTGTCCATGAACTGTCTTGGAAGGCAAACATGTCCGTCTGGCTGTGGGCGTGTCAGCCCCAAACCGGCCTCCTCCAGCAGGGGTTGTAGAGGACAGAGTGGCGTCCCTCGGCGTAGGGAGCTGAGTGAGGGCATTGTCACTGGAGTTTTCTGTGTCCTTGGTTTGGAGTCAACTCTGGAGGCCTTTCATGGGGTTGAGCTGTGACATTGGTGTGTGTGTGTGTGTGGTAGAGACACTCCATGTTGGTGAGGATTCTCTTTCTCAAAACTCCATGGCTAATCCTGAAATATGAAGGAAGTGGGAATACGGCATTGCTGTGGTCCAATTGCTGTCAAAGAAGAATGTCATGTGCATTGTATCTTGACACTCAAAGAGCATCATAGAATGTCTGAGCGGTGGGGGAGAGCCTGGGAGCTTCTTCTGCAACTCCCTGCTTTTATGACCAGGAAGGAGACCAGTCTCTGAAAGGCCGCTGACTTACAGCAGGACCCTCAGCCACATGCAGAGGCAGCTCTCTTGTATCCCTCCCAGGACCTTTGAGGGATGGCATCACTGTTGTGCTGAGTGAAAGTACTACCTTCAGTGACTGGCAGTCCTGTGCCCCTGGTCCTTCCACCATGACCGGGAGGGCGGAGGCATGAGTTAACTTCACAGAGGTCCATGTGCTCCTGGAGATGAGTGGTCTGAGTATGCTTTGTTGGCCTTGTTTTCGGGAACCTGTGTATGGATGTGAGAGTTGGACTATAAAGAAAGCTGAGCGCTGGAGAATTGATGCTTTTGAACTGTGGTGTTGGAGAAGACTCTTGAGAGTCCCTTGGACTTCAAGGAGATCCAACCAGTCCATCCTAAAGGAAATCAGTCCTGAATATTCATTGGAAGGAATGATGCTTAAGTTGAAACTCCAGTACTTTGGCCACATGATGCAAAGAACTGACTTATTTGAAAAGACCCTGATACTGGGAAAGATTGAAGGCAGGAAGGGAAGGGGACGACAGAAGATGAGATGGTTGGATGGCATCACCGACTCAATGGACGTGAGTTTGAGTAAATTTCAGGAGTTGGTGATGGACAAGACGGCCTGGCATGCTGTGGTCCATGGGATTGCAAAGAGTTGGACACGACTGAGCAACTGAACTGAGCCTCCAGGCCATGGGGCAGTGGGCCTGGTAGTGGGGGTGGTGGGGAGGGGGGCAGGTTTGATGACCTCCAGAGCAGCACCTCCTGCCCTGATGGTGCCTCAGGCCCCTAGGGTGGGGAGAGAGTGGCCACATTGGGCCAACACCTGGTCACCAAGCCAGGGAGCTTCTTCAGGAAGCTCATTGAGGAATGAGCGTGTGATCCGTCAAGAGAAGAGGTGTGAGGCAGGAGCCAAATGAGAACGAAGGCTTTGGTTCTCCCACGGACACGAGGGGGTGTGGGTACATCTCACTCCGAGAAGACGACTCTGGCTTTCAGGCTTTCTTTGCAACCCCATGGACTGTAGCACTCCAGGCCTTCTTGCAGCCCAAGAGCCACCAACACCCTGGGAGATGCAGAGTCAGAGCCAAGAGTGCCAGACCTCTGCTTGTCTCCCGGAAGCCCTTTCACCTTCCTCCCCTGGGGCTGGCAGGGTCTAAAGACCTTCAGTGGGGTCCCGTTTTTTCCACCCCCCTTTTCAAATGAAAACAATCTCTTAGTACCTTTCCATTATTACATAAGTGATAGATGATCATTGTAGAAAATGCAGCCATGAAAAATGAAGGAAGAGCACACACCCATAATCCGACTATCAGAAGCAGCCGCTGTTTACACTTCAATGTCTTGTCTTGTTTTCTACACGTAAGAGTTTGCCGATTTATTTCACCCTATAGGTGTTGTTTTGTAACTTGGGGTTTTGTTGTTGCTTAACAGTATTTTCAGGAACTTATTTCTAGGCAGATATTTACCTTGTTTTTAATGACTGAGTATATTTCACTGCATTGAAGTACCATAATTTCCTTAACCAATCCCCTCTGGTAGGTTTGTGTGCATGCATGCTAAGTCGCTTCAGTCATGTCTGATCGTTTGCAACCCTATGGACTGTAGCTCACCAGGTTCCTCTGTCCATGGGATTCTCTAGGCAAGAATACTCGAGTGGATTGCCATGCCCTCCTCCAGGGGATCTTCCCAACCCAGGGATTGAACCTGCTTTTCTTATGTCTCCTGCTTTGACAGGCGGGTTCTTTACCACTAGCGCCACATGGGAAGACCCTCAGGTAGATTTACAAAGACTAAAACAGGCACTAACCACTGACCCTATTTCTAAAACACTGCACCACGTTTTAAAAAAGCAGAAGATTAATTTTCCAAACAAGAATTAGGAGATGATCATTCACATTATCAAGACCTCTGCAAATATACCCTCCAAAGACCATCTTTGAGAAATGGGCTTCCCTAGGGTCCTTGGACTGCAAGGAGATCCAACCAGTCCATCCTAAAGGAGATCAGTCCCGGGTGTTCATTGGAAGGACTGATGCTGAAGCTGAAACTCCAGTACTTTGGCCACCTCATGCGAAGAGTTGATTCATTGGAAAAGACCCTGATGCTGGGAGGGATTGGGGGTGGGAGGAGAAGGGGATGACAGAGGAGGAGATGGCTGGATGGCATCACCGACTCGATGGGCATGAGTTTGAGTAAACTCCGGGAGTTGGTGATGGACAGAGAGGCTTGGTGTGCTGCGATTCATGAGGTCGCAAAGAGTTGGACACACTGAGAGACTGAACTGAACTGAACTGAGGGTCATTGCAGTTACAATGTATCAACTCCCAATTCACACCTGCCTGCACAGAGGGTGATGGGTCTGGATCCCCTTCCTTGTCCCTTCCTTCATAGATGTCCTTCCTGAGTCCACAGAATGTGTGTGCAGGTGTGTCCACACACTAGCAGTGCACATGAATGCACACACACGACACACGTGTTTATCCACGTACACATACATGTGTGCCCTCACACACACGTACACCCATGCACATGGACCTGTGCACATACACGGCATCTGGCAGCTTTTTCCCATTGTCAGCTGAAAGGTGATGTTAATTTAGTTCATTTTTAATCACATCTATTTATCAGGTGGTCTGCGCCCAGCAACCATTACTAGGAATAAACTATCATTTCTCTCTAAACGATAAAGGAAAGTAGATATTGATGACGTGAGGCTCGTCAGTTCTCCCAGCCCATGTGACTTATTATTTAATAAGCAGATAAGCCTCCAAAGAGAAACTGTTTAGGGACTTTTAATAAAACCAGGTTTGAAATCCCCAAATCCCCAGCCTGTGGGCTAGTGTCCACAGGCTTAGCATGGGCCGGGGGCAGGGTGGTGTTACCATCCATGAAGTGATGTTATAAGCCTCCCTAAGAGCATCTTTGCCCTGACAAGTCCAGCTATAGACACTCCCCGTCCCCCCGCCCCCCGCAGGCCTACAGCTTGCTCCAGACCATTCAGAGGAGGGCAAGACCAGGCCCTGGGAGAAAGGTGCCCACAGGGAGCAGTTGTTTATTGAGTCATATACCAAATGAACCATCAGTAAACAGATTTCTGGTATATTTGTATTCAATTTCAGAATATATATGTATTATATGGATTGTTGTTGTTTAGCCGCTGAGTTGTATCTGACTCTTTTATGACCCCGTGGACTGTAGCCCTCCAAGCTTCTCTGTCTATGGGATTTCCCAGGCAAAAATACTGGAGTAGGTAGCTATTTCCTTCTCCAGGGGATCTTCCCAACCCTGGGATTGAACCCACAGATTCTTACCACTGATCTACCTGGGAAGCCCAAAATATATGGATATGGACGTATTCTATATATGCATTTCTAAAGAGTATATTGGATTGAAATTCACACAACATAAAATTAACTATCTTAAAAAGTGAACAATCTCTATACCTCAGTTTCTTCTCTTTAAAATGGGTTAATAATATCTTTCTTGAAGGACTGTTGACAGGATGAAAGTGTTATTTACTGTATATGATGGGATCAGGACAGTGCCTGGTGCATGGTGAGAGTTCAGTGGATGCACAGATATTTTTACATTTTATTTTTTAATTGCTGTAAAACACACAGAACAAGATGTACCATTTCAACCACTTTTATGTTAACAGTTCAGTGGCATTGAGCACATTCTCATTCTTGTGTGACCATCATCACCATCTACCTTTAAGACTTTCTCATCTCTCACAACTGAAATATTGTTCCCATTAAACACTAACCCCGATTCCCCTGACCCAGGCACCCACCATCCTACTTTTGTCTCTATCAGTTTGATTGTTCTAGGGGCCTCAGATAAGTGGAGTCATACCTTATCTGATCTTTTGTATCTGGCTTCCTTCACTGAGCATAACGTGCTCAAGGTTCAGCCACGTTGTAGCGTTGTCAGATTTTCCTTCCTTTATAAGACTAAGATTCCATTGTGTTTATCCACGTCCTATTTATCCATTCATCCATCTGTGGACACTGGCATTCCCACCTCTTGGCCATTGTGACCCCTGCTGCTCTGTGCCCGTGTGCATTTCTATTCCTCTGTCTTGGGGTGAGGGAAACTAAACTGACTTGGAAACTCACTTTCCAATGGAGCTCTCCTCTCTCCACCCTTCCCACACATAAAGACAGACACACACATACATACCTATGAAATCAACCTGCAGAAGAAAGGCCTTTAGAAGGCGGGCTGAAGCCTTCCTGGGGATCACATGTTTGGACATCTTTGAGGCTTTAGGTCTTGAAAAGAAATCTCCCAAAGGAGACAGTTCCCCACGCCACCCCTTGCCACCACCGCTTTGCACGAGCCTTATGCAGAGGCTCAGGGACCATGTCACCCTGAGATGTTGTCTCCTATTAACTGCTTGCTCAGATAGGTACCAAGTCCAGGTACAGCCCAGATGGACGACTTGAGGGCCAGAGGGACCAGAGTGATGGAGAAGTTTAGAGCACATCCATGGGCCCTGACATAAGGGGAACTGGATCCTGGGGCTGAGACCCAGAGTGCTCTGTTGTTGTTCTCCCAGGCCCACCCTGGAGGAAGAGTGTCTTCCAACTGGAGCCCACTGTTTGGGGCATGTGTTCAGACTGCTGATGGGCAGGGGCTGGGAAGGGGTGGTCTGGTGACCACAGGATTTCAGGAGCTGATGGTGAGGAAGAAAGGCACCTGTTCCCCTAAAGTAACTGCAGGAAGTAGTTTCATCCCAACAGGTGTGAGTCTTCTCTTTGGGATTTTGTCTATAAATGTAGCCACATAAGTTGCAACCTTCTGAAATGCCAGTTCTTTCTCTCCTAAGGCCCATTCATCTTCTCTGGAAACAAAAAACAATGCCACTTCCCCCTCAAATCACCAGGGTCTCTGGCTTTGACTCATAGGAGGCTCCTGGTACTTCCCTCAGACACTAAAAACATTGGTTTGGGGACTAAAACACCTTGAGAAGTCAATCACCACAGGCAAAAGAATAATAACATAACAACAATAACAATACATGCTTTATCTAAAGTGCTTTTTCTCCACCAATCCAGGCAGAGTTCCCACTGTCCTGCTTTCTCATCCATAAATGACTCTGTTTGGTAGATTTTTCTGTATCTATGTCTTCTCTATATGTGGATTCTCCACTCCCTCAGGATTTTTGCCCAAAGTAAAATGTTAATGGAAAAATCCAAACGAATGCTTTTGCCAATCCAATATCAATGTAATTAATTTCACTTTAATTAAGGAACAAAACATATTTTCGTTGGAAATCAGCTGCAGTTTAGCAGGATCATATCTCCCATTTTTGAGTGATGTCACCCATTTTTCTTTCTGACTTCCCATATCCACTGGATTCTTGGTGCTCCCAGAACAGTACTGAGCTGATGGGACCTGTATCAGTCAGCTGGGGCTGCTACAACCAAGAACCACAGACTGGGCGGCTTAAAAAACAGACATCTATTTCCTCATAGATATGGAGACTGGATGTCTGAAGGTTTGTAGATGGCCATCTTATCTCTGTTTTCACACGGTCACCCCTCTGTGCGTGCATGTGTGTGTGCTAAGTCGCTTTGGTCGTGTCTGACTCTGTGTGACCCTATGGACTGTAGCCCACCAGGCTCCTCTGTCCCTTGCCTGGGTTTGTCCAGGCAAGAATGCTAAAGTGGATTGTCATGACCTTCCTCCAGGGGATCTTCCTGACCCAGGGATCAAACCCGCGTCTCTTACATCTCCTGCATTGGTAGGCAGGTCCTGCCCCACTAGTGCCAAATGGGAAGTCCCCTCTGTCATGTCTATGTCCTAATCTCTTCTTGTAAAGACACCAGTCATATTGTTCAGTTGCTCAGTTGTGTCCGACTCTTTGCGACCCCATGGACTGCAGCACGCCAGGCTTCGTTTGCTCAAACAGATATCCACTGAGTCGATGATGCCCTCCAATAATCTCATCCTCTGTCACCCCCTGCTCCTCCTGCCCTCAATCTTTCCCAGCATCAGGGTTGTTTGTTTTTTTTTTTTAACAATGAGTTGGCTCTTTGCATCAGGTGGCCAAAGTCATTGAGGCCTAACCTAATGATGTCATTTAAATTAATCACTTCTCTAAAGACCCTCTCCAAATACAGTTGAATTTTGAAGAGCTGGGGGTTCGAGCTTCAGCATATGGATTTGGGGGACATAATTCATCCCATAGGAGAGCTTGACCTGACCAGCATCACCCCCGGGTGAGCCATCATTCTGTCCCACTGAGTTTGCCTTAGGGATTAGCTCCCGGGTGAGATATCCTGCTCTCTTCGGCATCTCGGCATGGCAGCCACCTGGACCCTGCACCCGGCCTCCTGTTTATTGACTCGTTTCCCATGTCCACCCTGTCTGCCCAAGTCCAGCTGCATCTGCTGCTGGGAGCACTTCAACAACGCTGACTCCAAACAGTGCTGTCTGGTTACAGACGTCGCCCTCCTGTCTCTGAGCCTGGCCATCCGCACATGCCAGGGCTCAAATGCAGCCACCCTGCCTCAGATCGATCCGCACCCCTGGGACAGGCTGTTTACTCCTGTCTCTGCTGCCATCAGGGACAATACCCCGTAGCATCAGATGGTGTGATAGTGCAGCCCCCACGGAAGACCTCCACCCTCTTTCACACCAATCCCTCCCATCCCCACACACATACTCATGGTGTGTAAGTGCAGGGCAGAGGTGAGAAAAGGTGGGTCTCCAGACATCCTCAGCTTGCCTCACATGTCCCACCATCATCGGGGACTGACTCAGGGATGACAGAATCTTCTCAACGCTGTCTGTCAAATGACATGCTGGCTTGTGCTCTGTGCTTTTGCCTGAAATGTCCTTCTCTTCCTAAAAGGCTTCCTGTCCCCTGATACTGTACCCAAATATCACCTCTTCCATGAAGCCATCCTGGCCTCCCCCTCCCTTCTCCCTGCTGTACAGACGTCATTGTGGCTCCATGCTCACTAATCATGGAGCAACGCCGTGGCTCCTGACCTGTCTTCTCCACCTGGGCGGGAGCAACCAGATGCAGATTTTATTCAGGCTCATCTTTGTCGCCCTCCCCCACACTCATGGTGCCCAGCATGTTTTTGGTGCTAGGGAGATGCAGACACTGTTCCTTTTCTCCACAGTGTACTGACAAAGCAGCTAATCCCTAGGATCTTCTTTCTGCTCCTAGAAGACACTTTCCGTGTTCCCAGACTGCCTTAGCCAGCCCACATCTCCCTCCTATTGACGGTTTGCTCCATCACTGCTGACTCGAGTGACCTGACCCAGATGCATCTTATATCTGCTGGTGGCGAGCTCTCCACCAAGGGAAGCTGCCAGAATGGGATGCTAACACCCATTATGCCTTTCTGGACATGTGCGTTGTTTTGTAATTTGTATGCTTATTGGCTTGTGTGTGTTTTTTTCCCCTCTATGTGACTATTGGATGTGGTAGAACAGATGGGCTTTTCTACTTGGCTGTCCAGAGCAGTTCAGAAGAGTAGGTGGAAGGAAGTGTCCTGGGCACATGAGTCACCACAGTCAGCTTCTGTAGTCCCTGATTCCAAAGGCATGGCTTTTTGAAGGCTGCCCCAGGTGGGCTGGAATCTACACATGGGTCAGTGTGGCCAGCCCTGTCTGCTGTAAATAAAACATGACTCAGGCCTAATCCTCCATCCTGGAAAGGACACGGTCCATTGTGTTGTGTGGCCATCCGGCTCTGTGACCAGCACCATGCTGATGACAGCTCTGTCAGACTTCCATGTGTTTGTCCTACATCAATCACTGTTTCTCTGGGAGGCCAGAGCCCAACCTGCTCCCCAGAACCCCCTGGGTTGCTGAAGACGATTAGAGAGGGTCTCAGTGATGCCAACTGAGCTATGAGGGAAGCTAAAATATGCTTGCTCCTTGGAAGAAAAGCTGTGACCAACCTAGACAGCATATTAAAAAGCAGAGACATTATTTTGTGAACAAAGGTCCATCTAGTCAAAGCTATGGTTTTTCCAGTAGTCATGTATGGATGTGAGAGTTGGACTATAAAGAAAGCCGAGACTGAAAAACTGATGCTTTTGAACTGTGGTGTTGGAGAAGACTCTTGAGAGTCCCTTGGATTGCAAGGAAATCCAATCAGTCAATCCTAAAGGAAATCAGTCTTGAATATTCATTGGAAGGACTGATGCTGAAGCTGATACTCCAATACTTTAGCCACCTGATGCAAAGAACTGACTCATTAGAAAAGACCCTAACACTGAAAGATTGAAGGCAGGAGGAGAAGGGGACGACAGAGGATGAGATGGTTGGATGGCATCACTGACTGACTCGAGTTTGAGTAAGCTCCACGAGTTGGTGGTGGACAGGGAGGCCTGGCGTGCTGCAGTCCATGTGGTCACAAAGAGTCGGACATGACTGAGCAGCTGAACTGAACTGAGCACTGATGCCAGGGGGACAACTCCAGGAGGTCACATGGCCCCAGAGAGGTGGATTCCACATCTTCTCTGCTTCAAAGTGATCAATGCCTGGATGGTGGAGGGCACCTCAGCCACAGATAAGCAGGCAACGGGAGGCTGAATCCCACGGCAGCCGTGGAAGGTGCAGCCCCTGAATCCCTGAGAGAGAGTCCAAGAAATCAGAGGTCTGCTGAGAGCCATTCTCGTTCAGCTCTGGTGTGACTCTAGTCCCCCAGCTCAGGCGGCCTCAGACCCAAGCCTGGCTGGGGGAAAAGAGAACTCTGTACAGTCCCGGAGGAGAAGGCGGTGGGCCTTGGAGGGCACTTTAGGAAAATGAACAAACACAGAGAGTGACACTGGTCAAGAGCTGGTGGGAGAAGAGGAAGATGGGGGAGGGGAGGAGGAGGACCATGGCAGAGGGCCTGCAGAAGCAGCGTGTGGCTCAGTCTGGGCACGGAGTCTTTCGTCAGGCACTGTCACGGGATCCCAGCGCCCTGGGGATGGGACTGGCAGAGGAACACTCTCGTCTGGTTCAGGGGACTGTGCCCTTTCGTCAGTGTATTCCTTTTCTTGACATTCTCATTATACTAATCACTTTTGGGTATACATCTAATATAAAGTCTGCCATAAAGTAATGAAACATGGCATGACTCTGGCAAATGGTGTGATTATTACATAATGAAACTAAGTACCCTAAACCAAGAAAATCAAAATCAGATTGTGTGTGTGTATATGTGTATGTGTGGTGATGTTGGTACCTTTTGGGGGGAGGTAAATTTTTTAAATTTTTTTGCTGATGGTAGGTCATTTTATAAAAAGTTCTTTTGTACTTTCTAATTGAGCCTGCGCACGAGGGAGCCCCACAAATTCTGAGCTGTGGAATCTGGCCATGTCAGCAGTCTGCAAAATGAATTGATATTAAATGCAACAAAAGTCCCTCTAATTCACCTTGTTTCTGCCTCTGCCCTCCTCCAACCCCTTGTCCCTCAACTCCCCCAACCCTGATCTTCCAGCCCCTCACAAGCTCCAGCTGAGCAGTGGAAGAATAGAAAAGGCCATTGCTACTGGGAACGACACTGGCTTATCTATTATGTAAAACCTCAATAATTAGTATTATTTACAAATAGCTGCACTTTCTCATTGCCCTGCCACAGACAGATGGATACCCACAAACATACCCACAGATCCCACACTTCTCAGCACTCTCATAAAGCACTGTCACCCAGCCACACATAGACAAACTGGTCATTCTCACACTTCCTTCATCACTCTCAGCTGGGGTGGTCAGAGGTGCCAGGCCACTTCCTGAGCCAAGCCCTGGGCAGCTGCTTGGTCCACCTCTCCCCTGTGTGATGGAGATGGCATGGTGGTGCTATGGGGAAGGCTGGGTGGTAGGGGCAGGGCAGGAAACCAAGGGAAAACTCAGGGAAGAATGAATAACACAAAATACACACCAACAACTTCTGAGCCTTCACTCAGCACTGTACCTTAGTCGGGTTTCAGTTTGAAGTCAGGCAATTCTTATGCCAGATTGCTTACAGAAGCCCCTCCCGCTTCCCCGAGCTGGAAGTCACTTGCTGGAAAATAATTGGCTCCCACTCAGAATGTACAAAAAGGCCAAGGCAGCCGCTTTCCCTCCCTCCGTCACCCCGACAGGTTGTGCACTAATTTTTCCCTCCTTCCTTCCCCTACAAAACGAATCTCGATTTAAGAAATCAGACCTGGCAGCTCTATGTCATCCTTAACATGCTCCAATTGCCAGAATCTGGAAAATCTGCTGTGGGCAGGCAGGATTGCCTCCAAATGTGTTTCCAGTGTGGTGGATTTAGTGAGCACACACGTGGCAGAATTTATCTGCATACAGCACGTCTCCTGGGCCCCAGCCACTGGTGCCACATTAAACCATAGCCTTAGAGAAGATCCCCAAGTCTGAGCACATCCTGTGGTGGCCATTCCCTCTTATGTGGAGCCTCTGACTTGGACCAAGTGAGGCTGGAGAGGTGAATGGGGCTCTGAGCAAAGCTCACAGACATCATTATCTGGTAGAAACTCAGGCTGTTTGAACTGTGTATTGAGCTCTTCCTTAGCAAATCTTAGCCTTACCCACCTCCAGGTAGGAATCTCTTCCTCCTGATGGACAAAACTTTAGAAAGTTATTCAAATGGAGGGTTGTTGGGGAAATGGATTAAAACAAATGACAAGCAATCATGTTTCAGATTTGATGAAGGCAGATCAGCAGTGACATGAGCCTTTATAAGCACTGTCTGCTGTTTCCAGGTGATAAATGAGTGCCATGTGCTTCTAAGCATGGGACAGAGATGAACGGAGGCTGAGTTACCAGCCCCCAGCCTGGAGCTCAGCAGGTGGCTGGCAGCCCCAGGTCCCCGTGGGCATCTGTCCGTGGTGCTGAACTCTCTCTCTCTCTCACCCCATTGCTTTCCCTGTTTCTCTAGAAGTGAAGGCATCTACTGAATTCCTTGCTTGTTGTTCAGTCACTAAGTTATATCCAACTCTGCGACTCCATGAACTGTAGCCCACCAAGTTCCTCTGTCCATGGGGTTTTCCCAAGCAAGAATACTGAGGCGGGTTGCCATTTCCTTTTCCAGGGGACCTTCCCAGTTCAGGAATTGAACCTGCATCTCCTGCATTGGCAGGTGAATTCTTTACCAGAGTCACCAGGGGGACCCATCTAGTGAATTAGAGTACAGCTATTTGATACCAGAATTTGATGACAGGTGTGCTTGTTCTAATCTGCTAGATGGCCCTCAAGTCCAAAATTCTTCCAAGGGGTTTCAAATGTGGGGAAATCTAAGAAAAAGCAATAACTTATTGAAGAGGAATTAAAAAAACTAGTTCAATTGACTGTGCTTTTCTAACTATATGAGGCAGCCAGAAAGCCACAGTTGGAGACACCAGTGCCCTGTAGTATAGATATTTACCTGTCCTGATAGCTGAATGAATGACCATGTGTGAGACTGTGTCTTCACTTCCTAAGTTCTACCCAAGTTCTAGCCAACCCCATGCCAACTAGGGGCTCCCTCTCTGATTCAGTTCCCCATCTTGTATCAGTGCTGAGGCTGAAATTCTAACCAGGATGCATCCCTAACAGCCCTCCCTGTCTCATCTCATCCCTCTGGCTCATTTGAGAAC